TTTGGTCGTGGCCTCGGTGGCCACCATTTCACCTCAGCTCGGCATGTCAAGGCTCACAGGCCCCAGGAGCAGATCGATTGTCTGGAGGCCGAGGAGCGTCATTGGGCCGAAGCGAACCGATTCGCTGATCATCACGCCAAGCTTGCTGCCAGCTTGCATCCTGCGTTGTCGCCAGAGTTATTGGCCAAACTCGAGCTTGCGAGGAGCCGAGCCGCCGATTTTGTCTCGCTAGCTGCAGCTGTCCTCCCGTGTTTCCTCGAGGACAGCCCGCAGCGTTGGCGACGGCCAACAGCGCTGCATCGGGAAAGGAGTAGTCGTGGGGAGGGGTGGCACTCTCGGGGCTTGGGTGAGCTGGGATGGCAGTGCGAGGTGTGCTTCAAGGTTGCGCCGCCATGCCGCAACCTGCCTTTGAATGGATGTCTCGGGGCCCCCGTTTTTCTGAAGCCTCTCACGGTTGACGCGATGGCGCATCAGTTGGTCGCAGTTTGTGGTTCTCGTCTTGCTCCGCTGCGCCCCGTGCAGTGCCGTGCCGAAGTCGAGAGTGAGGCTCGACGGGGTCCCCTGCTATGTCCGAAGTGTGGAGGGTGGAGTCAGGAGAAGGCCATCAAGTTAGCCAGGCCCTGCGCTCCCTCCACAAGCACAGGAACAATTATTCTGTTTCGTTTTCGGAGAGGGCTGGCCCCGAGTCCCCGAATTCGTGCGTTGATCGACCGAGCCATCCCTGCCTCTCGGGTCGGTCTCAGTGTTGCGAGTGCGCGGGATGTCCGCGCTCCGACGTCTGTCGTGCAGTATTCGTCGGACAGCGTCGTCCCGCATGAAGCTCGAATGGCACGCCTCTTTGCGCAGGTTCGCGTTCGAGAGGAGGCTCGCAGCAAGGTTTAAGTTTTGGAGCGGGTGCGCCTGCCGCTGTGGGCGAGGGTGGTTTGTGGCCGCTTTCTCGTCCTCTCAAAAATCTCCCCTTGGTGCACCCCGCCCTCATTTGGTATTGGGCTGGCCCCTCCCTCCTTGGACTCGCTTCCTGGGAGTCGCCTCATCCCATCTCATCTCATCTCATCTCATCTCATTTCATATCATGTCATGTCCTCCTCCTCCACTCCTCCTCTCCTGGGATGCGCGCGGGCCTGGGGCAGACAGATTCCCATCCCTGCGAGCGGCGTGAACTTCCGCCATGGGCGAAACGGGTCTTGAGGGAAACGGGTCCTGAGGTCTGTCGCTGCGTCTGGCTTCTCGGGGCCCTCCGCGGGCCCCAGTACTGTCAGAAACTGACTCAGGAGCCGTTTCCCACCTGCCAGCAATTTATCTCGAGACCAATCTTGTGATTCCTTCGGGCGCTTAAGGGCGCGTCCCCGAGATTGGCATCGACCTGGGGCTTGTCAGTCGTAGGGGTGGGCGCAAGTTCGAGGCTGGCTGCTGGGGGCGCGGCTCTGCAAAGCCCCCCCACGTGGCTGCCATGGCGCGCGCCGCGGAGGTCATGTTTGACAGTCTTGGCGGCCTCTCCCCGGTCGTCTGGCGCACCTGGAGACCCTTCGGGGTGGCTTTCGGGAGCCGTCCGGAGATTCTTCCGGGCCCTCTGCGGCCGCAGTGGAACGTCTTGGCGCGCTTCGGGCCCGTCGTGCGCCTGCCGAAGCAGACATAGCCGGTGAGAGACAACAATTCAGGAAGCGTCTGGAAATTGCATGCGCTCCAAGGCACTCAACGCGTGGAAGGGCGTTGCCAAGGCAAACAGGGGCCGCGCGCACATGCCTCTCGCTGCGCTCGTCGAAAGTACGTGCACTCGGAGCCGGCGAGCGAGAAAGGCGGGCCCAAAGGGTGGTGCGAAAAAACGACAGGCTGAGCAGCGGGCTCCGTTGTTGAGACGCGCTGCCGGGGAAGCCCCCCCCCAATCCGAAGGGGAGGCCGACGCCAGCAAAAGCCACAGCGAGAGTGGCCGCAGTGGCGGCCAGCTACAGCAGCGCGACCAGAACCAGGACTCCCAGCTGCGCCCCGCAGAGCACCAGCGACAATAGCAGGACTCCCAGCCGCAGCAGTTGCCCCAGCAGCGCCAGCAGGAGCAGCAGCACCACCAGCCCCAGCAGCTGCCCCAGCAGCAGCAGCAGCAGCAACTGCCCCAGCAGCTGCCCCAGGGGCTGCCCGTGCAGCACCTTCCCCTGCAGTCTGGGCCACCGCTGCAGCAGCAACACCAGCACCAGCAACGCCGCCAGCAGCCCCAGCAGCACCACCAGCTGCCCCAGCAGCACCGCCAGCCCCAGCAGCTGCCCCAGCAGCACCACCGGCCCCAGCAGCGGCCCCGGCAGCAGCGGCAGCAGCAAATGCCCCAGCAGCTGCCCCAGGGGCTGCCCCTGCAGCAACTGCCACTGCAGTCTGGGCCACCGCTGCAGCAGCCGCGGCAGCCTCAACTGCCACTCCAGCAGCAGCAGCAAGGTCCGTTCCACTTCGGCCACGCGGCGCCACAGGGCTTCAGTCCAGTAGCCTCCCAGTCGGAGCCGCCCGCGGCGAGCATGGCCGCAGCGGCGGCCAGCTCGTCTGCCCTGGCTCCGATTGGGGCACGCTGCAGATCACGGGCCCACAGCGCCGCGCCCATGGCCCAGGACCCCCCGCCACCACCGTCGGCGGTGCCTTGCTCGGTCCTTCGGGCTTCGAGGCGTCGCGCCAGCCGCCCCCGGGAAACCATTGCGAGGTGGCGGAGTTCCACCCGCCAAGTGGCGGTCACGAGCAAGTCGCCGCGCCGCGGGCAATGGCGCAACGCGACCGCGCGGAGATGCGCGGAGAGACGGAACGTAGACTGACGGAAATGCGCGCGTGGCACCAGGAACATATAACAAACTCCTGGTGCGCACCGACACCACCAGAAAGGACGCGGGGAAGGATGCGAATGCAGTGGTCGACACCCTTGGACAACATAACAAGAGGTTGACCGAGCAGAACGACAGGCTGCAGGAGAGGGTGGGCAGATGCACCGACGGGGGCGACCCAGGCGGGATAACCTCGAGGTGGCGACGCGAGGCCGCGGCGGCGGCCTGTCGCTCGGCCCGCGCGCGGGCCCCGCGCGCGAACGGCGAAGCAACTGGGCCAAAGTTGCGCGACAAAAAAACATCAACGCCGGTGTCATCAACATTGCCACCATTATCATCGGTAACTTCATCATGCATGTTTCTTCTTTATCGTGCACTGCGACCCGCCGTGATGCGGTGATACGCGTCGCTCGGACAACCGCCCGAGCAACACTAGCACATTTTCATTCGTATTCTGCGCGACGCCATGGCGACATGCAGGGGGCCAGACAGTGACACCACTCACGGATGATACTTTTCCCCAACAAAGCTTATAATATCTTGCACGTCGACGTGGGGTCATGCAGTGAATGGAAGAAGCGAACGAGGCAGAGAGCGAGATATATCTGAAGAAAAGATAACCCAGTCAAGCGACATCGACACACGGTGACACGATCTTAAACAAAAAACAACTGACCAACATCTTATCGTGCATGTGCGTCCCGGGAAACGCTATAAGAGCATTTGCAGATCTGCCCGGGAAGCGCTCGTATAGCGTTTACAGGTTTTTGGCAGACTTAGCCTCTTGGTCTCATAATTGTGGTTTTTGGATTGATTGTTATGGCCGTTGTGCAAAATTAGTGATCGCGTTGCTATTGTCATTTGTGCTTTCCCCCTCTGCCCCCTTGCATGTTGCGGCTCGACTCTGCGCGCCTCCCATGTGCCGCTGGACCTCCCTGCGCGCCACCTGCCCCGCATGAGGCCCAGAGTCCCCCCCCCCGCGTGCGGCAAGGCGGCGGGCCGAGCGCTGCGCATGCCGGTTGGGCACCGGGGCCCGGTCTGACAGCCAGTTCGGCGAAAAGAGAGACGGAAAGGGGCAGAAACGCCGTGGGCGGGAAGGGCAGACTGCCAGAAGTGGCGCGAGCGCGCCCGGTTTGGCCTATCCCCTCTTCCTCGCCCCGTTTCTCTTTTGCGTCCCCAGTTCCCCTCCCCGTGCCCACCCACATCCCCGTTCCTTTCCCCCGTTGCCCTCCTCCTCGTCCCCCTCCTTCTCTTCCTCCTCTCCTCTTCCTCCTCCCCCTCCTCCTCCTCGTCCTCCTCCTCCTCCTCTCTTCCTCCTTCCTCTCTTCCTCCTCCTCCTCCTCCTCCTCCCTCCTCCTCCCCTCCTCCTCTCCTCCTCCTCCTCCTCCTCCTCCTCCTCCTCCTCCTCCTCCTCCTCCTCCTCCTCCTCCTCCTCCTCCTCCTCCTCCTCCTCCTGGGGGTTTAGCTCGTCGTCTGTCCAGTCCTCGGTGGAGCGGTGGTCAATCGGAAGCTGGCCAAACCAGAATTGGGGTGAGAGGCGCGGAGGCTCCCAGGCTTGCGGGCCAGCCCGAACTCTGCCTCTCGGGCGTCTGCCATTGTTTTTGGTTTCATCGAGCAGCGGGCTCGGCAGCTCGGCCGATCGGCCCAGCGGCGCGACCCCGACCCGGCCGGCGAGGACGATTTGGTCCACTGGCTCTTCCTTGAGGCAAGCACCCGCCGCGTGCCCATGGCTGGGATGGTCACCGCCCACCAGACCACCCCAACCCAACCCGAAGGCCTCAATTTGGCCTCCATTTCCAGTGGGGTGAGTGGGGGAACATTGAAAAGACACGGGCGGAACCCGTACCCCCCCCAGCCCGAAATTCGGGTCTTCGGGTTGGGTTGGGGTGGTCTGGTAGGTAGTCATATGGCGCCCCCCAGCCAAGGTGGCACAAAGTTCCTCTCCGATGGTGCTTGCCCATGTTTTTTTTTTTTTTTTGTTTCCCCCCCCCCCCCCGAGGCCAGGACCTTTTTTTTTTTGTTTTCTCTCTCTCTCTCTCTCTTTTTCTCTCTCTCTCTCTCTCTCTCTCTCTCTATCTCTGTCTCCCTCTAGGAGCGTCCAATCCTCCTCCTCCTCCTCCTTCTCCTCCTCCTCCTCCTTCTCCTCCTCCTCCTCCCCTCTCCCTGCCCGTGCCCCTCCACACCTGTTGCCTACCGTCTTGAACGAAGGTGAGACCGTGCAGGCCCTGCGGCTGTTCAAGTCCTGGGACCCAGCTTGGGACGACAGGGACCGCGAGAACGCGTGGAGCAACATCGTGGATTACGTGAACTCAAACAACGCTAAGGCGCCTCTTTATCCTCGTAGTCGCCCTCCTCCACCTCATCTGTGTTATCATGGTCTCAATCGCGCTCTGATCCTCGTCATTATGCTCTTCTTGGTCATCGGTATCTTCGGCTTATTCATTATCCTCCCCACTATGTCTCACCTCCTCCTCCTCTTCTGTATTTTCGCCGTCGGCCACCTTATGCGCTCTTCGTGCTGACTATGCCAAGACTCCTGACGTCGTTCTCACCGTGGTTTCAAGACAGCTAACAACGACAACAAAGACAAAGGAACATGTTCACTCAGCTTAGCCGTGCATTAAAGAAACTGCAGGATAACATCGAGAGGGCGAAAGATGAGGTGAAGGAGGTGAAGTGTAAGCTAGCAGACTTGCAAGACAATATGGAGGAAATGAAAGTCGATGCGGGGGAGGCCGTGCATACACATCCACCCAAGATGGAAGGGAGAGACTAACATGACGAGGTGGGGAATGCTGACCGCTTCAAGCAGGCAATCGCGTTCGATTTCGCAGCAAATTCACTATCAGCAGCATTGGTGGACCACCCTGGGAAATGGCTCCAAATACATCTGGGTAGTGGTACGCGTGCGACGGTGACGACAGGGGCGAATCCAGCCAAAATGGCTACGATAGAACTTCCCAGCGTTCCGACCAGAGTCGAGTTTTGGCGAGGTGGCGACGGGGCGGTGATGGTGAGAACGGGGCCGTCGGACCATCCCGCAGGCCCAGGTCCTTGCTTAGCAGAGCAAACATCAGCGCAGAGAGAGAAAGCAATGCGCTTCCGTGCAAAGCAGAACGGAGCAGAGCAGAGCAGCACAGAGAAATCGACGCACCCGAGTGTGGCGCAGTGCAAGATCGTGCAAGGCACTGCAGAGGAACGCAACTCCATGCCAAGACATGCAGACCACTGCAGATTCACGCAGAGCACCGCGAAGCGGGCGGAGGCGAGGCGACGGGCGGCGACGAGGCGGCAACGTGGCGGCGACATGGCGGCCAGAGCGCCACACAGGCCCAGGAGACGGGCGGCGACGGGGCGCGACGGCGCTACACAGCCGTGGGATCGCCACACAGGCTCAGTTCCCCAGCAAAAGACGCAATAACCCATACGGTGGGGGCGGGCAGTAAGAAGTCATATGCTTTTCGTCAGGGTACCCTCGGTTTCTTTGCTCCTCGCTCTGCGCGGCGACTTTCCGCGGCCGTTGAAAGAGCTGCTGCGTTCAGGGTGCTCCAGGTTTCCCCTCAGGTGCACCTCGCGCGCGGGTTCTCAGGGTTGGGTTTCTTGCGAGGGTTTCTTGCGGCCGCGCCCGCACTGTAAGTGCAAGCGCTGCTTGGGGAAACTGGTGATACCCGTGCCAGTGCAAGTGTTGCGTCGGCCCCGCACGGTCAATTCACCCTGGGACACCAGCTTCCGAAACACTTCGTGCCATCGGAGGTAGCAGGGAAAGTGTTTCAGTGTTTATGGGGGTGTCCCACTCTGCTTCCGACGTGTTTCAGCCGATCCACAGGATGTCTGTTACCCCTTTGCGGATCCGACGATAGCAAGGAGGTCACTTCATATGCATCGCCGCTGGCCTTCGATTTTGGTGCCTACTCCATCTCCAATTCCCGCCCTAAACCTCACCAGTATCTGCATCACTGATTCTGGTCGCCCGTTCACATGATCCGACTCTCGACCCCCATTCTGACCCAGTTCCCCATTCCCGACCTCAGGACCATCCCATTTCCTCCACGTTTGGATTTTTGAATTATTCACGCTTCGCTTGTGACGCCGCTGGCGCCTTCGCCCGCGGCTGCGACGGAAAAGCATCCCAACCAGTCGTCCGTACCCCCTTTGGCTCAAGTCGTCTGGGCTCGAGCACGCCCCTGGCTCAGGTGCGCGCCCTGGCCCGTGGGATGGAAGCCACCGTGACGCGGTGGCGGCAGCGACGAGCAGCGGCCGCCTGCGCCGCAGGTGCCGCGGCTGGTCTCAGTGGAGCTGCCCTCCGGCGGCGCCGCTCGCGCTGGGCCGCCGGGCTTGGCGGCCGTGGCGCCCGGGTCGGCTGGCGGCGGCGTGCTCCCGGGGGCCGCCGCTGCTGCTGCCTGCCCGCTGGCGGCGGCGGGCGGCGGCATGGCTCGGTGACGTCGCCGCGGCCGGCCCGGCTGGCGGCGGCCCCTGCCCCCGCTGCCGCTGCTGCCGTCACCGCGGCTGCCAGCCCCCCGGCGGCGGCGGCGGTGTGCGAGGGTGGCCCGCGGCCCTTTGGCTCTCGCCTTGCGCCGGCCGCCGCCGCCGCGGCCGCCGCTGCCGCGGCCGCCGTGCGCGGGTTAGGATGTTTGGTAAAATTGATGGATCTCCCCGCTTCCAGAACTGGCGCGGGCTTCCACTTGCGGTCCCCTCGCTCCTGCCCTTGCCTCCTGCTTGCTCGCTCTCGCTCCTTCTCTTCTCACCGCCGCTTGGCGGCTCAAGCCTTTTCGAAGGCCAAGCGGGGGGTCGGCCTCAGTTGGCCTAAGGCCGGGCCCCGGGACCGGGGCCAGAAGACTTTCAGGGCCTGGGACCAGATCTGAAAGGGGGCGCCCGCGGCCGCGTGATGCCGCGCCTGGCGCCGCGCGGCTGGGGGGCGGCGGCGACGCTGCCCGCGGGCGCGCAGCTGCGCAGCGGCGAGGGGCCCGGGCGCCGAGCGGCGCCGGCTCACGCCAGCCGCGGAGCACCCGAGGGCGAGGTGGCAGCCGCCGAGGCAAGGCCGCCGCCCCCCCCCGCCGAGCCAGCGGCCAGGCGCGAGCCCGCGCCGGCGCCGGCTCGACGCCAGGCGAGGGCGGCAGAGCGCGCGCGCGCGCGCCGGGGCCCGCCTGGAGGAGCTGCCCCGGGGCCTCGGCGCCGCCGCCAGCCGGCGGGCGCTACGGCCGCGCTGCAGCCCTGCTGCTGACCCTCGCGGTGGCGGTCGAGGCCGCCGACGCCGACCACGAGGCCGAGTACATGTACTACGACGACGTGTCGGACGTGGACATGAAGGCGTTCTGGCTCGACGGCACCGTGGTCCCCTCCTCGCGCGTGGACACTCTGCCGATCAGAGCGCACCCCGCAGGCGAGCATGCTGCTCCCGCGGGAGGTGCCGGAGGGGGTCCGCCGCGCGAGCGCTCCGCGCCGCCGGCCGACCCACCTCCCCAAGGCCCGACCCACACCCCCCCCCCGACCCCTCCGACTCGGACTCGTCGTCCTGGATCAGGGGTTGGGGTTTTTTCGGCATCAGTTGGAGGGACATCGGCAACCGCGCCCACTTGATCGCCGAGGGGATGGGCGGGGGCACTTTCAGGGCTGTTGGGAGCTTCAGGTCTGCCTTTTCGACTCGCGAGGCAGGAGGTTGGCTGAGCTCCGACGGCAGCTGGGTGCTGTGCATGGCCGACCAGATGGCCCTATACCTGTTCGGCTCCGCGTGGCCGCAAGTCGCCGGGCTCGTGGCGATCCTCTCCGGCACCGGCGTGATCGCGCTCCTGGCCCGCAGCTTGAGGACGCTCTTTGCTCCCTGCAGCTGGGCAGCTTGGACATGCGGTCTGGTGCTGGCATGCTGCCCCTGCCCACGGCGCAAGACGCCTGGCGAGGCCAAGCTTGACAGGCTGGTCCCGCCGGCGGCCCCGCCCCTCACCGACGTGGTATGGCATGGCCCAGCCGTGGGTGCAGATCCGACCACCGATTGGTACCGCAAGAGCATCAAGGAGGGCAGGGGCTCCAAGCGCGGCGAGAACGACCTCCTGTTCAGGGTCGACTACCGAGTCGCGCGGCTCATGCTCAACATGAAATCCCCAGAGCGCATCAACCGCCAAGGATTGTGGGTCGAGTGCGACTCCGTGAAGGGCGCGAGCGACATGGGCTTCCGGCGCGAGCTCGAGCAGCGCGACCAGCGCTGGCTCCACCTGCGCCGCTCCGCCGGCTGCACGGGGTGCAAGGGGCGCGAGAACGAGCTGCACTGCAAGGAGTACGCCGCCCTCGACAACGAGGCTATCGTGGACCTCGGCGACTACTCGAAGTTCACACCCTGCCGGATCTTTGTTTGGCTCTGGCGGTGGTTGGGCTTGACCTACAAGCTGCTGCTGTACGTCATCTCATGGCTTTCGTGTTGCGGGGCGCGCCTCTGCCGCCGGCGACGCCGCCGTCGCAAGACTGGCGATGCGGAGCCTGGTGCGCAGGGGTCCGTGGCGAGGCTGCTCGACCAGGAGTCCGAGTCCGAGGTGGGCGTCGAGGACAACCCTTGCGAGGCGGTGAAGGTGGGGCTCATGATCAACGGCAAGATGCGCCCACTGGCGCCTGAAGGCTGTCGCGATGCCGCTCGCGGTGAGCCGCCCGCGCGGTTGGTGGAAGACGGCCGAGCCTCGGACCCCGCGCCCCCCAGCGAGGGGAACGCGACGGCTTGCCTATGCGAGCACCACGGGCAGATCTACATGGTCTTACGCTATGGCGAGAAGTGCTCCCAGGTAACGTGCTTCCGCGAAGCGGTGGGCATGGCCTCGGGAGTGCCACTCTGCCTGCGGCACCTCGGCGGCGACGCGGCCAAGGCGATCAACGACGCTCCCGCAAGTGGCGGGTTCTTCGCAGGTTTGCGGCGTCGGACCAGGAGGAGCCCCGCTCCGCGGAGCCGCGCGCCAGAGCGTGCTGCCGCCGCTCCAGGTCGGAGCCGCACTCCAGGGCGCTCCACTCCGGCGGTTCCCGCCCCGGAGGCACCCACCAGCCTGGGCGACCCTGTCCCCGCGCCTGCGGGACCACCGAGCGTGCGATTTGAGGCGCCGCCGGTCCCAGAGTTCCCCGAGCCGCCCACGCCGCCGCCCATGCCGCTCGGGCAGCATTTCATCGTTCGGGCGCAGGTGCGCTGGCCAGAAGGGGCGCAGTGGATGATCTTCAGGGGAAAGGCAGCCGATGCCGCCGCAGCCAGCGCGGTCGCCGAGTACCTTGACGGCGCGATGGCCCTCGAGGTGGAGGATCCGACCGGCACCATCATCCGTTTTCTGGTGAAGCCTGACGGCGTCATCCGTGCGCCT